AGAACATTTTCATTAGTGCAGTAAGTTCTATTGGACAGTATTGCCCCCAGAGAGAGTATAGCAAAATATGAGGAATGGAATCCAGTTTAGAATTTAGGGAGTTGGACAGGGGGTGTGCTGGGAAAAGATACTAAGAAAGAGCAGTCAGTGAGGGATTGGCAACATTACCAGTGGCCACACTATGCAGGCAGCAATTGAAATAGTGTTGAAGTTAGACCGAGGCTACAAAGAGATAATCATTAAAATCCTAAATATTCATAAGAATGCATAACTCCACTGCCAGAGTGAGGATGATGCATATGCTAGATGAGGCCAGTATCTTAAAATGGGAGGTGGGGAATATGAATGAATAGGAATAAGAACCCATGGAAATGGAACCATGAAAGAGAAGAAACAGTTTGGACTTGGAGACAAGCATCATGGAAGTGGATCCACCCCAGAAACTCTCTCCCTCAAAGATGGAAATGTTTGTAGGCAGAGTGGTGGAATAGCAAGACAAATTTTAGAAGTATCACAATGAGAGAATTATCAAAATATGGCGAAAGATAGGTATTCCAGGATGATTAATAAAATCTTGTATTGGCCAACCACATCTGGAAGTGTGTTGACCATTTCTTTGAGCCCTGTAGGTTCTGGTTTGGAATCTGTGCTAAGAAAAGTTGGCCCTTCCTATGGGCAGAGACACAGCCTTACACCAGGATGCCCAGTTCCTCCAGCAGAACAGTCTGGATTTCCGCCTGTACTTTCTTCCTGGAAAAACTGCACCACTATATGTAGAAGCCCTGTATATGGCCCCAGAAGCAACAGGTAGACAGCCTTTTTGTCACCATGAGGGCAAGAAGGAAGACAGCAGAGTCAGGAGAAATGGAGCTGTAACGCTAATGGCACTAATGACAGCATGAACTATTGGGTGACACCACCCTCGAAGCCTGAACTACTTGTAGAGTGCTCATTTAAATGAACCAATAAGCAGAATCTGAGAGAGCCACTTTGCATCACCAAGAACTCACTCACTGCCAGGGGAATTATTCAATTAAATATGTTGTTTTACCCCTGTTGAATAATATATAATATGCATTTAGAACTGGGGATCACTAATACTGCTTATTGGAGAAATGTCCCTTTTCATGGCTCTCCAAGCCCACACCTAAAAGAAACATGAGAAAGCTTGCTCATTGCAGGGCTGGGGAGCTAGTCGATATTGGGGACCTGAAAATCCTAGTTGACTGCATTGAATACAATGCTTTTACTTACAATAGAAAATCTGAATTATGGGCATAAAAGAGAATTTATTGGTTCATTTAAATGAGCACTTGCTCTTGGTCATATGGAGAAAGCATTTGCATGGGGAGGGAATCCAAGCAGAGATCAAGATATTTTGGCAAGAAGCATCTTAAAGCAATTGATGTGTAAGTATTTGTAAAATGTGTAAAAGTATTTAAATATGTGTACCCTGAAAGCTTGATATAAATACCTTATGTTTATAGGTTATTGTATAATTGCAACTGAACATTCAAATTCAATAGTATTAAAGTTGCATTAGTTTTATGTTAGGGACAGTGATGTTTTGCTAAAACTAAATTGCTGTTCTAAAATGAATATTATACTAACCACTATGGTATAGTTTCTTTTGATTTTGCCAAGTATCTTGTGATGATTCAGTTTCTTCTGGGGAGGCAGTGAGATCTTAACTCCTGCTCTCCCATATTTAAAATTATTTTGGGAGTGATCAGAGGAGCTCCTGTAAAGGTCCTAGGTTGTGCAGACCACTGAGAACTTTAGATAAAGTTACCTTGAAAAGATGTGGCCTGGGTTCTACACAAGAGGCTGGATGCTTCCTCTGGACCCAGCCTTTTTTTTTTAAACTTTACTGGGGAACAAGGTGTGTTTCCAGGACCCATCAGCTCCAAGCCAAGTAGTTGTTTCAATCTAGTTGTGGAGGACACAGCTCAGCTCCAAGTCCAGTTGCCGTTTTCAGTCTAGTTGCGGGGGGGGGTGCAGCCCACCATCCCATGCGGGAGTCGAACTGGCAACCTTGTTGTTAAGAGCACACGCTCTAACCAACTGAGCCACCTGGCCACCCATGGACCCAGCCTTTTTGACAGTGTGGTTGTTTTGTGGGAAACAATGGTTGAGCATGAGTGTGAGATAAAAAGAGTGGTAAACTTTGAGCCCCATGTGGGGCATCACAGAGGTCTGGGTAGGAACTAGACAAATAAGGACATCGGGCATTGGTGGACAAGTTTGCTGAACCAGTCAGGGCAGCCTCACAAAGGTATACAGGACTGTGTGGTAGGCTTCTAGCTGGGGCCTGGAATCACTTCTTCCTGATCTTGACCCGCCCCCATTCATGGTGGCTCTCCCTACGAAGGACCAAAAAGCACACTGCTTTTTTGACATCCCGAGGGTCTTGCAGGTATAGAATACGATGGCTACTCTGCACCTCAACTTTCATTCATTCTGCAAACGTTTCGGAGGCTCCTCTGTCCTGAGGTCCCCATCCTGATCAGACCAGCCCTGCAGCCCTATTCAGATCTCCCACCGTGCTACAGATTGCTTCTAGTCCCTGAAGGTGGGAAATCCCTCTGGCAAGGGACTGGGCCTGCTTGGGCAAGGAACAGGTTCCCATCTACAAAACGAAGGATGACCTCTGCGGGCTCCGCTGCTCATTGGTCTGGCTGGGCCCTGTTTCTTCACTCGATAGCCAATGGAATGAGTGCTGCGCTCCTTGCGCCCGCCTTAGACTCCACCTCCTTCCGAAGGCGGGGAGAAAGACGCGAGCTTATCTCGCCCGGCCGCCATTTTCTCAGGCGTGTCTGGAGGCGATTACAATAGAAGGAGGAACCATCGAGGTATGTGGTTTTCCAAGATTACTGGACGGGAGTTCAGGGAAGGTCTAGGTTGGCAGGACAGTGTGTCGACGTACTTCCGGCATGGCCATTGTTAACGTCTGAGGGTTTGGTTTGTGAGGACCCGCCGAGTGGTGTCCAAAACCTCTGTTCGCTGGGAAGCTGCAGAGGCCGCTCAGAATCCATGGTGAGCAGGTCTGGCTTGGTCCGAGAAGGACCAGAAAGACCGCTGGGGAGATGAGCGGTTACTGCTGCTACTGGGGCCCTCGTTCCGACCCCCGGGCTCGATTCGGCTGCGGCTGCGTGGAGAGGCGGCGCTAAGCAGGCCCGGGACGTTGGCCTTAGTCGTTCCCTCAAGGTTCCTCGTCCCCAGGACAGTCTGTGGCGTATTTAGATTGAGTACTGATAAAATTCAAGTGTTAACTGAAGTCCTCAAAAAGCCGTAATGGCGCCCCCAGGGCACGCTGCCAACAGAACGGATGCTCGAGCGCTCCAGCCCCCTTGCCCTGGCCGCGGAGACCCCGGGCCTCGCCCTCCGCCTGTGTACGACGTAACGCCCTTGCTCCCGTTTCAGGTATTCCCAGAAAATCGGTCTGCGTTCACTTTATAGACTCGCGTGGCCTGGTGTAAACCCAGTCTGGAAGCGTATTGCTGCCTATAGAGCAGTCCGAGTTTTGAGAATACTGAAATGGCGGGGTTTTTTTTCCCCCTCCAGGATGTGTAGGCTACTTAGGCCGCAGATTGGAGAATGTGGGGCCCTGGATTTGGATTGGCCTATATGAATGTTTAATCCGAACGACTCGTGATAAGTCATATCCATCAAGCACCTAATATGTGTCTAGTGTTTGGCATGTAATTTCTTTTTTTTTTTTTTTTTTAGGAGCCATCTCTTAACCAACTGAGCCACTCGGCCGGCCCTGGCATGTAATTTCTTATGTACCGTATAGGAGATATGGAAAGATTCCTTTTTGAAAAATTTTTTTTTTAAAGACTTTATTGGGGCATTGGGGGAGGGGGACCAGCCAAGTTGTTCTTCCATCTTCGTTGTGGAGGGCGCCAGTCGCCATCTGGCTGCCCATCGGCAGCTCGTGGCCTCTAAGCTCAAGGTGCTGTGTTCAGTCTTAGTTGCGGGTGGGTGTAGCCACCATCCCATGTGGGAGTCGAACCAGCAGCCTGTTGTTAAGAGCGTGCGACCTATCCACTGAGCCATCCGGGCAGCAGCTCAGCTCAAGGTGCCGAATTTTGTCTTAGTTGCGGGTGGGCATAGCCCACCATCGAACAGGCAATCTTGTTGTTACACCAGCTGAGCCATTCTGCCACCTGTTGGCAGCTCAGCGGCAGCTCAGCTCAGGCGCAGCGTCACTGGCCCATGTGGGAATCGAACCAGCGGCCCTGTTGCTCAGAGCTCGCGCTCTTAAGCCAACTCTTAACCAACTGAGCCACTTGGCCGACCCTGGAAAGATTTCTTGACCAACTTCTCTTCACATCCTTTATTTCTCTTCTGTATGTTACCTTAACTTACTCATTGTCATACCTAACTGAAAGTTCATGATCCATCAGGTTAAATATTTGGTTTCTGCCATTGGTGAAGTGTGTTGGGTTGTGATTTGTTTCTCTTTGGGCTTTTATTTATGGTTCAGGTCAATAGCTGTGGTTTTACCCACAGAAAAGTAGGAGGAAGTGTTTCACAGGGTGGCCTCTGCTGCTGTTCTACTTCCAGATGATTTGCTTTTCACAGATAGACAACCAAACAGATCAGACCTTTTTGCTTAAGTTCTTTTGTTTAATATGTCAATTTTATTAAGTATCCACTGTAAAGGCCATTTAATATAAAGATACAGTGATAGTATCATGATTTAAGAGAATTGGAGTACACAACTACAAGGATTACCTATTTACTCAGTATGAACCATTGCTTTTGTTATCCTTGGACAGAAACCGTCCATGAGTTTAGTAGCATGCTTGTTATGTCACCACTGTGAGATGAGTATTGCCAGTAATACGTGGTAATAACTGATGAATAGTAGTTCATGTTACCTCAAAATGGGATGGGTCAGATGTGTGTGCAGGAGTTATGGTCAGTAGAGTTATTGTTACGAATGCTTCTTACTTTACCTTCAGCTCCTGAGACTTAACCTTTCTCCAAGACAGGAATAAAAGGGTCAGATGATGGCAGCAGTGTCCTTAACAGCCAGACCCCAGGTGAGCTGCGTTTTCTCTGCCTCTGCACATATACATGTGAGTAGATACATATATACAGTAATACCTTGGTTTGCAAGCATAATTTGTTCTGGAAACAAACTACTCATATTGCAAGACATCACTCATTTACCATGTTAAAATGTATTATAAATGTTTGCTCATCTCGTGGAACACTCGCAAACCATGTTACTCGCAATCCAAGGTTTTACTGTATTTATGTATGCATGTATACTTTCATATATGCATATATAAATATACATTTATATAAATTATATATGCATATATGAGTATACATACATATAAAATATATATGTAACACTTTTACATATGGATATGTAAAATATGTAAATGTACTTTCTTATTGAGGTCTAACTTATTTGCAATACAAATCTGAACTGTGTAGCTCACTTTTTAGAACGATCTACACCTCTGTGACCATTCCTCATATTAAGACATAGAACATTATCAGTACCTCAATAGGCTCCCTCATACACCATCCCAAGCAGTCCACCCCTAAGTTGACCATTATTCTGACCTCTGTCACCATAGATTAATTTTATTTGCTCTTGAACTTCAAATAAATGGGATCATTCAACATGCACCTTTTTGTATCTGCCTTCTTTTGTTCAACATTATGTTTATGAACTTTACTCATGTTGTTGCACATAGCCGTTCTTTTTTATGGCTGAATGGTTTTCCAATATATGATTATACTACATTTTATTTATTCATTCTTCTGTAGATGGATATTTTGAATGCTTTCAATTTTTGACTACTATGAATAAGAATGCAGTGAACATTCTTATATATGCCTTTAGGTGGACATATGCACTCATTTCTCCTGGTTATATTTTTAGGAGTCATAGGGTATACATTTGGTTAGTTTTAGTAGAGGCTGCTCAACAATTTTCTGAAATGGTTGTTCCAGTTTATACTTTTACCAGCAGTGTATGAGAGTTCTAGTTGCTCCACATCCTTGTCAACACTTGTCGTCACTTTTTCTTGATATCTCATTGCCGGGGATGGGTTGTGGGGGTGGGTGATAATTTCTTTTTCCCCAATAAGCAGTAATGTGGAGCACCGTTCCATGTTTATTGGCTACATGAATTTCCTCTTATGTGAAGTCCCTGTCTAGATATTTCCCCCATTTTAAAATTACATGTATGCCATTTTTTCCAAGTTGTAGTTCTTTTTTATGGATATGAGTCCTTTGTCAGATATATGTATTACGAAATATCTTCTTCCAGTCTGGCTTGCTTTTTCACCCTCTTGGTGGTGTCCCTTGATAAACAGATTTTCCTCTAGCCTATCCAAGTAAGCAGTATTTTCTCATGTCTCTCTAAGCTCACTACCTTTGCATGAGTGTGGGGAGTCATTGACAAATCTGAGAGTTTTGTGCCTGGGGTAGTAGGCAAGGAGATGACAATGAGAAAAGAACTGGGATGAAAGCAGAATCAAGAAATGACAGTAAAATGAGCAGCCCAAATAATCCCCCAACTATATTACAAAGTGAGGAGGGGCTTAGAGCTAAGGTGTCAGCCATATCCAGTTATATGTTAGTTCTCCTTTTATATATGTACTGTCACACTCAGGACCAGGCCCAGTTCTTATATAGGACTCTATTTGAAGGTCATGTATGTTTGGAAACTCATAGTGGAGATGTATTTGGTTCTATCTGCGAAAGTATGCTGAACTCTTGGCTGGCTGGCAGCCTTTAATTTGTGTCCTCTTCCTTCACACCTTCCGAAGTTCACACAAAAACTCAGACACATGAGGGACCCAATACTAAATACGTATCATTGTAGGTGCCCTTCCCAGGCCTCACATGGATAGTTTTGACCATCATCAAAGTCCTGTGGCCTGAGAGAGCAGGAATTTGTTGTTTCAGGAATCAGTGACTTTTGAGGACGTGGCTGTGTACTTCACTGAGGAAGAATGGACCAGCCTGACACCTGCTCAGAGGGCCTTATACAGGGATGTGATGCTAGAGAACTATGGGGCGGTGTCCTTTGTAGGTAAGGCCTTTGTCATCGGTCCCTGCCTGGGCCCTCAGAAGTTAAACGGCTCTGTTATAACTCTTAGCTGGCCCCAAATGGCAGTGTCAAGAGTTGCTAGGTATGGAGAGCCCTGGAGTCTATTTGAACTACAAGAAGACTTTCTTTTTCCATCATAAAAGCTACCCTCTCTCTCTACCTGCCTTAGAGGTGATTCTGTGGGTACAGAAGGCCTTGAGCTATATCTTGGTACCCTTACCTTAGCATTGAACCTCTGGATTATCTTGAGAGAACTCAGCCCCTTAGGTTTCCTATAGGAGTTTCTCCTAGGAGCCATGTATCTGGCTTCCCACAGTGGTAACTTTTCACCCTCTAACAAAGAAGGTAAGAAATTTTGTTTCCCTTTAAATAGAAATTTGCCTCCCAGAGTGTCCAGGCTTCCTTGGGAGCACTATCCTGAGGCTTCTTCCCAGGACCCCTCCCAGTACCTCTTTAGGGTACCTCTAGCGCAGTCCACCTAGGAATTACTCTCCTCACCTCTGGCTCTTCTTGAAGCCGCAGGCCGAGATTGACCTCTGTGACCCTGCTTATCTTTGTGTTGTGTCTTCTGCCTTTTAAGCAGCATCGTCCACTTCCAAACCAGCTCTGATCCGTCGGCTGGAACAAGGGAAAGAGCCGTGTTTCAAGGAACCTCAGGGAGCCCTGAGCTGGGGAGCAGGCTTTGCAGGTGAGTTAAGGAAGGGTACCCTTTCCAGCTTTGCCTCTTCCTTTGCTTTTATTTCATCAAAATCAAAGATGTGTGTTCCCTGTGCCCAGCATAATTGGGATCCTTGATCACACTCTTTCTGACTGAGCTGTTATTTATTGTTTCCCTTCCCTTTAAACTGCAGTACACAACACCCTGCCCCAGTGTCTCACATACTGATGCTTTTATCCCTGGGGACACGGAGGAATATTTTTCTCAATACTTGACTGGTTATCTGTGATCACCAATTCCCCCAGTTTTACAAAATTGGTAAACTCAGTGCAGTATTATTATCTTTTCCACTAACCAACAGAACAAATAGATAAGTTCGTTTTTACTTTTCATAATAATTAATATATTAAAAATAAAAAAGGGCACCCCAGTTGGGACCCCCTCTCCTTTTGAGAGCTATTACTTTCTGCTCTAATAAAACTATCCTCTGCTGTAAACTTTAAAAAAATAAAAATAAAATAAATAATAAAAAATAAAAAATAATTTTTTTATGTTGAATACTTCAAGGTGGCTTACAGATGTTATGATTTTCTTCCCCTTTAGAATACTTGTCAAAAATGAGAAGATATATCCAGTTAGCTAAAGTAATATCCGATGCATTAAAGTCAAGAATGCAACAAAATCACCGCTTTTCGGAAGACAGGACCAAGGCTTAATTCTTTTCCTTTAAATGTCAGTTTTCAAAGTAAAGAGCTGATTTAAGAGCCATCTCAAATAATATCAAAGATACATTTTCTTTGTTTGTAGACACGTGGATTTCCATTGATCTGTTGCTTTTCAGTTCATTAAAATGATTCATGTTGATATACAAGGTGGCTCTCATGTCCTTTATTTAAACAGCTTTATTGAGACATAATTCACAAACTATACAATTCATCCACTTAAGGTATACGGTTCAGTAGTATTTCGTATAGTCACAGAGTTGTGTAAGCATCACCTCAATCTACTTTTAGAACATTTTCGTCACCCAGAAAAAATCCCCAGTATCCATCCGCAGTCACTCCCTATTACTCCTTCCCCCACACTATCCATTTTAGGTACTTATTTACTTTCTGTTTCTATAGGTTTGCCTACTGTGGATATTTGGCATTAATGGAATGGTACAATATATGGTCATTTGCAAGTGGCTATCATTGTTTTCAAGTAACTTTGTAACATGTATTAGTGTTCCATTCCTTTTTATGTGTGACTAGCATTCATTGGATGGATAATATCACATTTTGTTTATCTGTTCATCAGTTGATGGACATTTGGGTTGTTTACACTGTTTGGGTATTATGAAGAATGTTGCTGTGAACAATAGTGCACAAGTTTTAATGCACACATATGTTTTAATTTCCCATGGGTACATACTCTAGAGTTATACTTGCTGAGTCATATGGTCATTCTTTGTTTAACATTTTGGGAAATGCTAGAATATTTTCCAAAGTGGCTAAATCATGTTACTATCCCACACAGCAATGTGTGAGGGTTCTAAATTCTCCACATCCTCACCAACACTTAACGATTGTCTAACTTTTTGATTATAGCCATCCTAGTGAGTATGAATTGCTTTCTCATTGGTTTTGATTTGCATTTCTCTAATGACTAATGATGTTGAGCATATTTTCATGTGCTTATTTGTCATTTGTATATCTTTGGAGAAATGTCTATTCAAATCCTTTGTACATTTTTAATTGGGTGGTTCATCTTTTTATTTCTGAGTTGTAAAAGCTTTTTTTTTTTAATTAGGGAATTGGGGGAGGGGAACAGTGTTGGGGAATGGGGGAAGGGGACCAGCCAAGTTGTTATTCTTCAATCTTAGTTGTGGAGGGTGCCAGTCACCATTTGGCTGCCCGTTGGCAGCTGGTGGCCTCTAAGCTCAAGGTGCCGAGTTCAGTCTTAGTTGTGGGCGGGTGTAGCCCACTATCGAACAGGCAACCTTGTTGTTAGGAGCACGTGCTCTCACCAGCTGAGCCATCTGGCCACCTGTTGGCAGCTCAGCAGCAGCTTAGCTTGGGCATGGCATCACTGGCCCATGTGGGAATTGAACTGGCGGCCCTGTTGCTCAGAGCTTGTGCTCTTAAGCCAACTCTTAATCAACTGAGCCACTCGGCTGGCCCTAGATTTCTCTTTTTTTAAAATAGACATTTACAGTTATAAATTTTCCTCTAAACACTGCTTTAGCTGCCTCCTATAAGTTTTGGTATGTTGTGTTTTCATTTTCATTCACCTCACATTTCTAACATCACTTATAATTTCTTTGTTGACCTACTGATTATTTATTGAGGCTTGCTTTATAGCCTAGCTTTATGGTCTGTCCTGGAGAATATTCCATGTGTTTGAGAAGTGTATTCTGTTGTTGTTGAGGATAGTGTTTTGTAGATATCTGTTAGGTTTATAACATTGTTCAAGTCTTCTATTTCCTGTTTGATCTTCTGTCTAAATCTGACTATCATTGAAAGTGGGGTATTGAAGTCTCTATTATTATTGTTTCCCTTCAGTTCAGATGGTATTTGCTTCATGTATTTAGAAGCTCTTTTTGAAGGTACATCTATGTTTATAATTGTTATCTCTTCCTGATGGATTGACCCTTCTATCATTATACAATATCTCTTTATCTCTAGTAACATATTTTGTTTCAAAGTCTATTTTGTCTGATATTCGTGTAGCCACTCAAGCTCTCTTAAAGTTGTTGCTTTCATGGTACAGATGCTCCTGAACTTACGATGGGGTTATGTCCCAATAAACCCACCATAAGTTGAAAATATTATAAGTTGAAATGCATTTAGTACAGCTAACCTACCAAACATCATAGCTTAGCCTAGTGTACCTTAAATGTGTTCTGAACACAATATCCAAAAAACGCTGTAGAATATTGGTTGCTTACCCTTGTGATCATATGGATGACTGGGAGCTGTGGCTTATGGCCGTTGCCCAGCATCATGAGAGAGCATCATACTGCATATCACTAGCTGGGAAAAGATCAAAATCCAAAATTTGAAGTATGGTTTCTACTGAATGCGTCTCACTTTCACAGCATCATAAGGTAAGAAAGTTATAAATTGAAACATAATAAGTTAGGAGACCTTCTATACAGTTGACCCTTGAACAATGTGAGGGTTAGGGTTGCCAACCTCCCATGCAGTTGGAAATCCAAGTATAATTTAAATCAGCTTTCTGCATATACAGATTCCCAACTGTGGATTGAAAATACAATTGACCCTTGAACAATGCGGGTTTGAACTGTGCAGTTCCACTTATACCTGGATATATTAATCCGCTCAACTCTAGTTAGTAGCCCGGGAATCTGCATGCTTCACAGAGCATTCCAGGTGATTCTGATGTGGCTGACATAAGGACTACATTTGCGAAACACCAACCTATAACCAGTCTGACATGGCAAAGACTTGGATTACATTATGATTCATGAATTAAGTTATTTTGGGTGATGGGTTAGAGCTATGTTCTCCTAATCTAATACTATGTTCTCTAACCATTTTATGTGTATTACTTATATTTCCCAAGTAAATTAAAGCTTCCTGATAGCATAATCTCATACTTTTCTTATTTACGCCATTATATTTTATAACAAGTACCTTGATTTTTTGTTGTTTTTTTCGATTGATTAATGAGGTTTACACCTAACTTTATTCTTGCCAATTCTTTTTCCATTTCTTCCCTGCCCTTCCTGAGTCCTCTGTTTTACTTTCCCGTCCCTTTATGTCTTCAGGCTTTGTACACCATCACACATTCCTTCATGACCCACAGCCTTCCCTCGCTGACTAGTCCTACCCTCTCGGCCACCTTTTCATCTTGAACTCTTTTTGGATCCATTAACTCTAATAAAATTTTCTCTTGCCTTTTGGGATTCAGGACTTTTCCTTGCCTTGTCTCATTCCCTACATGCTCTAAAGGCATTTAATAAGCATATAAAAGCTGTGTGCTAACAGCTTTTTTTTTTTTTTAAAGATTTTTATTGGGATGGGAACAGTGCTGGGGAATTGGGGGAAGGGGAACAGACAAGTTGCTGTCGTTTTGTTCTTCAGTCTAGTTGTGGAGGACGTTGCTTCACTGGCCCAAGTTGGCACCATCATTGCGCTCTTCCCGGGCGAGGCAGATCAGTCACCGGCTTCTGGACGGCCGCTCACTGCGGCTGCTGGCCGCTCACGCTGGCTGCTAGCCGCTCACGCTGGCTGCTGGTCGCTCACGCTGGCTGCTGGCTACATACGGTAGCCCATGGCAACCCACTGCCACAGGGGCTGCAGCCCACGCCGTCGCCGGGGACCCACGGCAGCCCAGCTCCAGGTTGAGCTGTTGTTCAGCATCTTAGCTGCAGAGGGCAGTGTCACTGGCCCTCATATGTGGGATCCGAACCAGGGCCCTCTGGCATCCCAAGCGAGTTCTTAACCATCGCGCCACTCGGCCGGCCCCTAACAGCTTTTATATGATGATTAACTTACTTGATGATTAACTCTGGCAGACTGGGACCTGTAGGCAAAATCTGCCCCACCACCCATCTTTTTTTGTGTAGCTTACAAGATAAGTATGGTTGAATTTTTTTAGTGGTTGAGGGACATCAAAAGAATACTACAACTTTGTAACACATGAAAATTGTATGAAATTCAAATTTTAGTGTTCATAAAGTTTTATGGGAATACAGTCGTGTTCATTCATTAAGTATTGTCTTAGTGTGTTCATCCTACAACAGTAGAGGTGAGTACTTGTAGTAGAGACCATATGGCCTAAAGAGTCTAAAATATTTACTGTATATCACTTTATAGGAAAAGTTGGCTAACCCCAGTCCAGTTCCCTCTCACATTGCTGAGAGGTGGTATTTTTTCATAGATTTCTTCTTATCAGGTGGAAAAACCTGGGCTTAGGATGAGCATTTGACCTCAAAACAAATGATTCCTGATAAACACAAATCCTGTGGCATGGAAGCAGGTGAATATCTCAGAGAAGGACCTGATTTT